ATACATATATCAATATATAAAAAGGGTAGTAAACTATATACACCGGAACAGCTTGCTCTTTTTTTTATAAATAATTTTTATAAATAACTTTTATAAATAACTAAGCTAAAGTTATTTTTATAAATAACTTTAGCTTAATTCCTTTAAGTCTGTACAAGTTAATACATAGTTCAGGTTGGAAAAGTTCAGCTATAAAAGACTAAAAATTACACTCTGGTATAAGGCTTGCTCACTCAAATATTAACCAACATTTTTCAATAATCAATACCACATTAAGGATCATTTTATGGTTTAAATATCACTTAAAATATTTAACTGAATATGGTAATATGATTAAGTATGTTCAGAATAACCCTAGATCATTCTATTAACAACTTGGGAGAAAATATAAGTGCTTATTTACAACTGGTACTAGTGCCCTGTGGGGAAGTTGGGGCATGAAAAATTAATCTTGAAATACATACTATGTATAGAAAGGGTATTGAGATGAAGTAGTAGGAGCAACTCATAAGGAGTTTCTTGATGAGGTAATCTATGTAGTAATAAATTTCAGTACATTGTCATAATTGCAAAATTGACCTTGGGTGCTCAGGCCAATTGACCTCAAAGCTTGGCTATGTTGGTCCAAGGAGAGGTCACATCCATGAGCAGATAACAAAACAAAGAGGTTCCAAACATGAACACCATTGCTGACCACCACCTTAAGCTCCCAACCACAAATTACGATGGCAGAAGGAGCTGCTTCTCACCTGGGCAACTCTATGAAATGTTTGTCAGGATGAGCAACAAGCTTGTTTAATCATGTTTAAGGATTCTTGTAACACTAGGGAGGCCAGATTGTACTTCATAAAAAGATAGAGATAATTTGCTGCTGTCCTGCTTATTTAAGAGTTGTATTCCTCCCCTCTCATTCCAAATTTTCCCTAAACCAAACTTGGTAAGTTATACCAACAAAAGCACTAATCATATATTAACAATTATATGTAAAACAATTATATGTAATTATCTCTTGCTGCTTTGCTAAATTCCTATAACTCTTACAATCCCAGACACTCACAGAGCATTTAACAAATATTTTATTATAGTTACATGTTCTATACTAAAAAAACAATTTTAATTAACTCATCACAATCACAAAACATACCCTAATATGGATATTTTACCAATTCTCTTGTATTACTATTCATGCATTAAGATTAAATGTTCAAGAACCTAGTTTTAATCCCCAGCACAAAAAATAAAATTAAAAAAAAAGACAACCATGTAAAGATTAAATATTTTTAAGCTTCTCAATGACCAAGAAAAAAAAATGTATCCCAGGGTACAGCCATGTGAAATAAACTGGAAATTATGAGAAAAATAAAAGCAAAAGGCAGAACTAAAAGTCTATGTTCTCAAAGCTGAAAAGCAGTTTCTGATAAAACTTTTAGCTTTCAAAATTAATACACGGCTAATTTTCATTATTTTAATTAGAGTGAAAATCACAAAAAACAACTTTACTCCAAATATTCTTTCCCCCAGAAAAGCATTAAGGGTCTATGGGTGTATTAGACTACTGAAAAATAATTTCCAAATCTAATAACAACCCAGAACAAATACTTCCTCATATCTATCTTTCTTGATGAAATTAACGCCAGGTCAGCTATAACTGTTGAACAAAGTTTTCCCCTCCTCTTCCCCCTTAATTTGCAAACATTTAATCATCCCCCTTCCCTCAGTGATTGATGCAGACAGAGAAATCTGATCCAACCTGAGCCAAAGAGATCCTCTCCCTGGGGAATTTGATTCTCATTAGCAAAGAAAATGAGGTAAAATATCAGTCACAGAAACATCCCAAAGAGAAAGGCTACCAGTTCTGGCCACCTAAGATCCCAGGAATAGCCTTGGTCTCTAGTCACCCTAAGTCCTGGCTTTGCTGCTAGCACTTCATCACACAAATTTCCATCTTGCTTAAGATAAACTCTTTCCACTGTTTGCAAACAAAAAAACCACGATTCACAAAAATAAACTCATTACAACATAGTATGTGTATACTTGGTTCTCTTGAGCTCACATCTTGTACTAGTGATGACTGGAAATAAATGATTAAGTGCTAATTAACTTTTATTAACATTTTATGCTGTGAAGGACAATATTTTAAAACATGGTACTGTAGGATCCAGGGATAACTGTACCTAGTTATTGTGTAAACTGTTGTCAGTTTTTCAATGCATGCCCCTTTCTTCCTAATTTGATTTTACATTTAAGTAAGTCAGAAGACAAATATTTTAGAATTTCTTTGTGGCTCCTCAGAACCCACAAGGAGGCCAACAAGCTCAATCTTAGACCAAGAGTTCCAACCAGGAAATGCTGATATGTATATAAGTTTCTAATTACAAAGTTTCATGGATCTAGGAAGGAAATGAAATTAGCATGTAAAGATGTCTCTTTTGATTTTTAATTTCATTTGCTACTAGGCCTTTAGCTTCCCCCAAATCTCTCCCTTCTTCATACCAAGAGTGTTCAGGCTGTGAAAGAGGAGATGAAGGCAATGAACAACTTTTCAGTGTTATAAACTGAAAACAATGGCATCTTTTACAGCAACAGTACAGGCCCAAGTGTCAAGAGCTAATAACAATTTCATGCACAAGGTCCACAGGCATTTCTCAGGCCACTTAGGCCTCTAAAATCCTCTGTATATCTTCCCTTTGTCCTTTTTTCTCTGAATACATGAATAGCATACTGTAATCATAGAGCTCAAAATAAACCTCAATCAAGAAGTCAAAAAGTTACCATTATGGGTTACAGCAGAGAGCAGAAATGCTTAAGACTTCTTATCCCTGAGCTATCTCAGAAGCTAAAAAAGGGTGCTATTTCTTGTCTAGAATCTTCGAGTTTCTTAATAACCTAACATTTTTTGAGCCAATACTTATCACCTATGATGTTTTCTTGGTAAAGTTTAAGATCTGGACCTCCCCCTTTCCAGATGAAACATTTCACTATTCACCAACACCAAAGCAACTGTCAACTCACAACAATAAAGGACCTAAAAACAAGAATGACTCTGCTTTTTTATGAAAGCATTCATATAACTGCAATTAGGTTATGATTGCAAAGAAGATCAGGTTAAGTTACTACCAGTACGTTGATCAAATTAAACTACTGAGCAGTAACCAGACACACTGGACGGGAAGCGAAAACATATACAGGTATCTGGATTTCTTTTCAGAAAGACAGACATCCAAGTGCACTGTGTAATTATCCTTGAAAGGCTTAAAGATATCCTCTTTATATTACTATGGTTACCTTCCAGTTTCATACACACACAAATGTCACACAAATGATGACACTCTCCAAGGTGCTTTATAAGTTAATCTGCCAATTATGAAACAACTTCTCACAATGAAAATGGAAAAGGGCATTGCCTTGAAAGGTCTTAGGTTCCTAATAAACAAACTTTAGACTATAGGTACCAAACTCTATGTACTCACTAAATCATGATCATGGATGAGAGAATGGAAATATATAGCAAAAAAGAAAAAAAATTATAAATCTATAATGTTATACAGTTTTTTGTAAATACTTGATAAAACTCATTCAATCATTATATTCATGAAGGCATTTTCTTAAAAACACTGAAATTGAAGTACTTTTCTAAGTCAAAAGATTACCAAAAAAAAAAACACTTCCTTTAAAAGGATTTTAAAAGCCTGACATAAATAAAAATCTCATTTTTAGAAATTTCATGGGGCCTCTTATATTTTTTAAATAATTTTATTACATTGAAATAAATATAATTAGCCATTCCATCCTGGAGTCATCTAGCCATAGGAATTCACCTTCATTCACTATTCCTTTCTCACTAGGCAATACTTAATAATGTCTCTTTTTCTATTGATAAAAGCATTCTAATAAACATCAATCTTAACTTACCAATAAGTAGCTTATCCTCATTAATCTTTGATGTCAAAATCTGACATTTTTCCCAAAAGATAATATAGCTAAATTCAGTACCCAGTTCTAGTAAGCAAGCTATTAGGTACCTATCAACTTACGGGTTCACTTTAAGTTTGTTCTAGGCAACAGCTTTTCCTAAAGATACTTTATCCAACCAACCCACTCATTTCCATCAAAATGAAAGAAACTATACTTTAAATCAGATACTGGCATGGCCTCATATAATTTAAAAATTCACACCTAGATGATGATATATCTTATATACTAATGCAATAGATTTAAATAGGGAACAACATTCTCATTGAATGACCAAATTTTGAGAGAATTATTAATTCTTTGAAATTATGGGTTTGCAAGATAACTTTAGCTGTACAAATGTTCAAGACATTATATAATACTGAAGTTACTTCCTTTTAAATTTATCTTTTCTGATTATTTCAAGAAGAAAATCTGTGTTATGTCTTTTATGCTTCTTTATTACTTACTAATAACTGGTTTCAGAGCCTTCTACAAGTACCAGTATCTAGCTACAAATTAGAAACATTTTCTTATCTTGTTTATTTTTATAGTAAGCTTTCATATGTAGCAAGTGACAGGATACATTCCCTTAAAACTAACATAGTTAATACATTCTCTTTATATTACTTTAAAACACTGGGGGTGGGGAATATAAAGAAAAAGATGACTGTTTTAGCTTTCCCTGATCACAAGCAACTGCATGCCTAACTGTAACCAAGAACACCAAGCTTTTTTTCTCTAAGAACAATAAATAAGTACTTGCTTAAGGCCTGGTAAAAATGTTACAGTTTAAAAAAATCTCTGTAGTTTCTACTCAATAAACAAAGTATAATATTTAATTCCAGAGAATCGGGAGAGTGGTGGATAACAGACTTCCTAACAAAACTACTTTTGTACTGCCAAAAAGAAGCCTTTCAGTTTCCATATTTTAACCCCTTGAAAAACCTGTACTAGTTCGTTTTCCATCCCTACCCCTAGCAATACTTGTTTACATAGCAGTGATCCACTAAACTGTGAGCTCCTTCTGGGCACAATCTTGGCCTTTTTCAGCTTTTCACTCCAGGGATAAGTGGTCTCTTGTAGATACTCAAGATGCACTTGTTGGATGAATGATCATAGTATGGAGTTGGTCCTATACTCAATCCCTCTCTTTTTCTTAAAAGACATATTAACTGACAAAGGGCATCAGTAGTGATCATCCTTTGTTCCAAGTCCTTATTTATGGACCTAGAGTACCTATAAAGTTATAAGTAACTTCCCATAAATCCTGAATCTGAAGACACAAACCTTAAGAGCTATAACAATGAAAATACCATTAGCATTGCATCTATCTTTCCAAAAGGGCATTTTATATATTCAAGTGTATAGTTTAAGAAAATGTCAATTTTTTCTTTTTAAAACTGGGTAAAATTCCTTACTTTATGATTTTATGTTGAAAATATGAACAACCATGCATACCTGTAATCTCAGTGGCTGGGAGGCTGAGGCAGGAGGATGGAGAGTTCAAAGCTAGCCCCAGCAACTTAGCAAGGTACTTAGCAACTCAGCAAGACCCTGTCTCTAAATAAAGTATTTAAAAAGACTAGGGATGTGGCTTAGTGGTTAAACGCTTCTGGGTTCAATCCCTGGTTAATAAAGAAAGAAAGAAAGAAAATATGGACACACTTTTATGTGTCCTCTGGAGGAACAATGCTGTATAAATTTGAGTTGGTGGCATAAATGACGAGAAAAAATTTAAATTCTAACAACATTTTCAATAACACACAAAATTGACACATCAAACAAAGCAATCAATGTAAGCTAACATAGACTTTTCCAAGTTCTCCATAATGCTTATTAAGAAGTTCAAGATTCCATATTCTTCAATTTTATAACCTAGGAGAACTTCATTAAGTAGACACCAGGTTACTAGGGCTGACCAAATAATGTAAAGTTACCAAGGTGAATCACAAAAGAGATATGCTTAAGTCTATTCCTTACTAGTGGCTAGCCAGACACTTAATAAGAATCCTAATGATGAGCTCTTAAATGGAATAAGAATAAAGATTACACAGGAAAGTAGTCAACAAAAAGATAACAAGTGAGGGAAGTCCTCCTAGCAAATCTGATCACTTATTTCTTTCTCCACTATCTTCAACTAATATTTTGAAGGCAAACATGGCTCCTTCTCAATCACTTTTCTAGACTTTCCAAGGGCATTAGATCATATTGATCTATGGTCTCCCTTTAAGACTACTTTCTCAGTAACACAGCAACACCTCCAGTCTACAAACTAATTCTAATAATTTTCAAAGGAATATTAAAATTGAGAATATTTTAGAACAATGCTATCATTATTAAATTTCTCAAATCTTAGAATAAGTAATGTAGCTCAACCTGAATGTATTATTTTCAAATAAAGGGGATGTCTGAGTAGAAGACAACAGGCCTCTCCTACCCAACAAGAGTTAGGTATAAGTCCCCTCCACCCCCACCCCCGGCACCGCCAGATCTAATTTTAAGGGGGAAAAAAAAAGGTAAAGGTCAGGCTTTTTGGAGTAGCCCCTAAGGTCACAGAGGCATCAATTCAATGCCAACACCTTTAGTAACAGCATTAAGTTTGTATGCTGTCAGACATGCAGAGGGAAAGAAGGCTGGAAGGGAGGTAGAGTTGATGGTAAAGTGGTACAGTTGACAAAACTCATATATTAGCCAAGAAATGGGCAGGGTAGATTCTGCATGCAAAAACAAAAACCGCAAAGTCAGAGAATACTTACATTTAGCTTTTTTACATACCTGTAATTTGTTTCTGAATGCACAAGTGGTATTCAATTTTAGGCAGAAAACTTCCACTCAAGCAGGCCCAATACTAACTTATTAGAAAATCTACACCACGGCATCATCGCATTGTGCATTTACCTTCAAGAGCTATTCTTGCAACCTCCACAAACTGCAGTTAACTTCAAATACTACATTTGGTTTTGAACGTGGAGATTGCTCATCTATTTGGAATTCTGAACCTGAAGGTTACCTAAGAGTCTTTACAAAGGCCTTGCCTCTAGGCTGCTTCAAAGCAAACAGCAAATAGGAAGAAAGCTCACCCTGAAAACCACGTGTCTCCTGGTAGGAAGTACACAACCACTACATTTCCCGAAAGTGAACTTTCTATGTAACGGTAACAACTTAGATATTTCTAAATATCCGATTTGACATCCATGCATATACTTGCTTCAGTCTTTTTACAAGAGCGGGGATTTCTTCCTTTAGAACCAGTGAGCAAAAATAATCTCCCCTTAATATTAATTAATGGGGTACGGAGTAAAAAATTGTTTAAACAAACAAAGCCAGGATACTTTAACAGTCCCAATGACCCCAGGTGGGTTCTGATGTCAACACCGGAGGAGGCAAACCTCTTCACGCCTAGGGCCTGCAGGTGGGGCAGTACTGATTCTGGATTTCAGGGCATTTCGGAATAATCACTCCCACTTGGCTGCCCAGGGTGGGTGGGTGATGGGTAGGTTCTGCGGCCGCGCCAGGTTCTCACCCGTCCCCACAAGGAGTCCGGAACAGGCCTCGGCGGTGCCTTCTCAAATTCCGACCGTATCCCACCTCTCCCCCGACCTAGTCCTGAGGCTCAGCACCGGTCCCCAAACTGAAAACAGCAACTCCCCAGGCATCGCGCATCTCTCAGACTCCCTACCGACCCATATTTTCCTCCAAAGCCACCCAATGTGTCCAGGTCAGGGGTCCCTGACCTCCCGCCATTTCTCCACATCGCCGCAGCACACAGCAAAAGGAGAGAACCTCAAGGTGACACCTCATTTGGGCCAGCGGATCCGGGTTCTGGGCCCGAGCTCCCCGGCCCGACTTCCTTCAGAGCCGCATCGCCTCACCTGGCAGCGGCATACGATGTCGGCGTCCTGCGCCAGCAGATCCACCACCTTTCCTTTGCCCTCGTCGCCCCATTGCGCGCCGAGCACTACGGTCACTCGGTTCCCTCCGGGCCGCGCCCTGGGACGGCCGCAGTCACCGTTGGGCAAAGAGGAAGCCGCTGGGTTGTTCTCCACGAACGACATGGCTCGGGTGAGGCGAAGCGAGCCCGAAAGAGAAACGGCGGGCGAAGAGTGCGCGAGATAACTGCTCGGCTGCCGCCAGCCACATGCGGAGGAAGAAGAAGCCAGAGGCCGGCCCCGCCCCCGCCCCCGCCGGGCCACCACCCTCCAGCCAGGCCCCGCCCCGCTCTCTGCCACCGCCTGTTCACAGGGGGACCATGACAGCCCCGCGCAGGCCAGGCTCTGCAGCACCGCCCGCAGGAACTGGTCCTGGCGGCGGCAACCGCAGCCACCCGGGACCCAGGCCACGCCTCTTCCGCGTCCCGGAACGGCGCTTCAAGGCGAAAGGGGCAGGCGCAAGGGAAAGGGGCGGAGCTTCCAGTGCGTTTTCCGCCTACCCGCCCTTCCTCTCTCTTTCAAACTGCAGAGGCGCGAGGGGAGTCTGTGCAGCGTCAGACTACGACTCCCGGCATGCAACACTCTGCACTCCAGCTAGGTTGTCTGGTGCCGTGTTGTCTGAGGTCTGCAGGTTTCAGTATCTGAAAGCGTTGTTTTCTGTTGCTTTTTTTTTTTTTTAAGATCTGTTTTTATTGAGGGGAATTACAAAGAGGGGAATTTCGAGATACAAACTGTTTGAAATTGGGCTGTTTACGTTTAGAATTGAAAAATTAAAGTTTTAGAAGAGCAGAGATGGAGAGGGATCAAAAAGGGCAAACTCAAAAAGTAAAAGCATCAGAGGTGGAGGACATTAGACCCGGAAATTCAAGGAACAAATAGAGGCCTAACCCTTCTCATTTTACACATTAGTAATAGAGACTTAGAGAGGCTTATACCTACATCATAGAGTATGGGCAGATACTGTAAAGAATTTGGGTTTTTTAATGCCAATTATATAAGGGAGATAATACTATCTTATTTTATAGGGCTTACTGTTTTTTTCTTGCAGTGTTGCAAGATCAAACCCTGGGTCTAATGCATGCTAAGCAACTACACCCCTGACTCATCTTATAAGGTTTAAAAACCAGTTAAGTAACTTGATCTAGGGAGGCTTGAATTGGTACCTGGACAGCTGATTCTGGACTCAAGTCTTTACTGTGTATTTCACGCTCTTAATGTTTCCGTTGTGGCTAGATTAAAGTATTACTACTTTTGATCTAATGCTCTTCCAACTACACAAATTAACGATAACATCTAATTTTGATTAAAATTGCTTCGGAATAAATGTGGGACTAGAGTGTAGTATCTGCCAAATCGTATGTACTGTCCTGTTCTCTAATGGTCCTTAGAACCCATGTTAGTATTTTACTATGTACTTTCAAAGCATTGCCAATAAACATTGAACGCCTATAACAAACTTAAGACTCCTGGGTACTAATTCCTAGGACGAATAAAGATGCAGTTGCAGCCCTCAAGGATTCAGAATATTTGGTCTGCCGATAAGTAAATTATAATCTTGTAAGATAACAGGTGTTTATCTCAGCTTTATCACAAAATTACAAACCCTTCATAAACAAAAGTGCAGTAATATTCCTTTGTTCTTAAGTGCCCGAGGTAGTGTTGAGCATATAGTAGGTACTCAATAAGCACAGGTGACTATTCATTTCTATTCAATTTTTAAAACATTTATGCTATGTCTACTTGGAAAGTACGGTTAGGTATGTATTTGCTATGGCAATTGGTTACATACAGTCACGCGAATATTTGGGCTAAAAGATACGCTAACTTAAATTTCATCTTCATTCACTCAACTCTTGATTTTTCGAAGTGGTTTTGCTATCCGCTTTCCTGAAATCTAATTCCGAACATCAGCTAACTTTGAGGGCGGCACCGCGAAGCCCAGGTGACTGCGCGCTTTGCACGCGCACTGGCCCTCGCCGCTCCACACAGCTCCTCTGTCCAGCTACGCCAGGCGGCAACCGTGCCTGCAACCAGCCGCGTGGCCGATGGCCCCGGGGAGCGCGCGTGGCTAGGCTGGCTCGGCGGAGGCGGTTGGGTTGAGGTGGAGCTGGCGCCATGTCGGCACGGGGAGTGGCATTGCTGCTGTCGTGGCTGAGCTGCTGTGTCTCAGCCCTGTGGAGGTAGAGAGATGCCAGTTTCCGGCGGGCTGACCGGGTCGGGGTCTCCTTGGGGGCCCAGCAGGCGGGGGGCCCTGCGTCCTGGGGCCACTGGCCCTGGCTCTCCACCGCTTGGTTCCCCAGCTCGCGCAACACCCGTACCAGCGTCCAGCCGCTCCCACCTGAGCGTTTTTTGGTGAACGAGGGGAAGCCCTCAGCACTTGACTACTCTCTTCCAGTCCCTGCAGTTCGGTGATGACACTTTTATGTTGCTGTGCTCTGGACAGCTGAGCCCCTTCAAAAAAAATTTTTTTTAATGTATTTGCATTTCCGTGCCAAGGATTGAACTCCAATGACCCCACCACACACACATACACACACACACACACACACACACACACACGCACGCACACAGGTCTCTACTGCACCTTTCTTCTGCCAGAAAGGAGAGAAGGAGAACCAGCAGAGACTAGCTGGGAAGGAGGCGTTGTACTAGGATAAGTAGATAGTTGATGGCTCATATTAGGTTGTTGAAGTGGAGTGATTTGTGAGAGTTTTATAAAATATAAACATTGTACAAGTGTCAGGAAGTGTAATTCCTGGGTAAAGTGAGTTGATCTGAAGAATGAAAATGTTATAATGTTCTGGGGAAATCCTTAATGCAAGTTTAATTTTTGTTCAGTATTTGCTAATTGCTGTGTTGAAAGGGTATCGAAATATTTTAGATAAATTTCAACATAGGTTAAAATGGGGATGATGAACCAGAAAATCACATTTCTTAAATATTCCATTTTTGCTCTAAAAATAATCATTACCCTCTGGTATTAACTACCAATATCAATAAGAAATCAAAACTTTGTAGATGTTTTCTTACAATGAGGACCAGGGTTCCCCTTCCCTCCAAGGAGAACAGACTCATTGGACAGATGTAGGGGTCAAATTAAAAGTTAAGAGTAGCTTTAACAGGGGTTCACTTGATGCTTTGCCTATAACCCTTGTGGCTTTGAGACTTACACTTTTTTTTTCTTTTTCCTAATGTTTTCCCTAAACTTCTCCTCCCTGGTCTTCTTTTCCCTAAACTTTTTTGATTTTCTTATTTTCACTGGTCTTCTTTTCCCTAAACTTTTTTGATTTTCTTATTTTCACTGGTCTTCTTTTCCCTAAACTTCTCCTTAATCTCATTTTCTCTGAATCAACTCTAAAAGCCTCCATGTTCCTGTGGATAGGCAGAATTACTGCCTTTGGGAAAGGAGTACCCTGTGTTTCTCCTTTGCTAGCAAAGCAATAAACCTTCTTTTTCTTTGTCTCAAGACCTTGTCTTCATTATTGCATTGGTGTGGAGGACTAGGGCTGAGCTTTTACTTACATAGCCATTGGAAGGGGTCAATGAAATAGAGCAAAAATGTATTCTGACAGAACTTTGTAAGCCTTTTAGTCCCTTCAAAATAATAAAACATCTTGTAAGTGAAGGGAGAGTGGAGAACGAGAGACAGGTAAGCAAGAAATGAAAGATGGAGACAAGGCAGAGATTCACACCAGAGTTTGTCAGAACTGAAAAATAAAGGCCATCTCTATAGCGGAGAGAGGCAAAACAGGCTTGGCTTCCGGGACTTTTATAGGGCATGTTCAGGAATCAGAGATGGGCAGGTCCTAATGTGGGCAGTTAGGGTTTGGGTTGGTATAAGGGAGGGGTGAGCCTTTCTCAGAAACGCCCTTGGGCGGGAAGGTGGGTGAAACTTTTTCCTTAAAATGTCAGCAGTCACTTAAGATAGCCATCCAGATGCTAAGCAAGGACCTTATATTCCCCCCTTTTTTTGTTTTTTTATTGGTCCCCCTTAGGGAACAGGGACATAGGTTAATCTTCTGTAACTGCTTCCTGCTGGGAAGGGATGATGTTTTGAGTTCCTCATTAGGAGCACAGGATGTCATTGGATTGATGAAGGCAGTTGAGTAGTGGTGGAATGCTGTCCCCAGCGGACCAATTTTGGTGAGGGATTGGTATTCCTGTAACAAAAGCTGGTTTATACTTTGGTTAGAGATTTTTTTGGATCTGGTCTTGAACAAATCTAATGATGCAGGAGGCAAGCATTAACAGAAGGCCTATGACAAGGAGAGGGGTCAGGAAAGGAAGTGCCCACTGGAGAAGGGGGTTACTTAGCTAAGTACTTAGCAGAGGAGAACAGTTGTTTCTGACATTCAAGGTCCTATTGGAGCTCTTTTATCTTGTCCTTTAGGTGAGGAGTTCCTTTAGGTGATGGGGAGCCAGGATGGTGAGTGGGGCCCCAAAGGTGAGTTTCTTTGACTCATTAATAAGTAGAGAAGCTACAGTCAACATTCGTAGGCAAGGGGCCCATCCCCGAACAGTAGGGTCAAGACCCTTCAAAAGGTAGGCCCCAGCATGTGTCCAAGGACCCCTAGAGCAAATTCCTGCTTTTCAGCCACATAAAGTGAATTGGGCATGCGAGATCAGGGCGATGGAGAGCAGGGGTCTGGAGGAGGGCCTGCTGGAGCCTAGTGAAGGGTTTTATAATAACAGAGTGCAATAGGGGTTCAGACAGTGGGTCCCAGGCAGCATCATATAGAGTGGTTAGGAATCCAAGCTCTGAGGAATCCTGCCATACCTAGAAAGGAGAGAATTTCTTCCTTAGTAGAGGGATTGGTATATTATCAATAAGGCCCTTTCTATGATCCGTAATGGCTTTGTATGTAGGGGTCAGGAGGAAGCCTAGGTATGTTACCATTGCCAAGGAAAGCTGTACCTTGGACCAAGAAACCCTATAGCCATGGACAGAAAGGAAGTTAAGAAGTTTACAGGTGTCCTGATGACTGACCTCAAAGGAGGGACTGCAAAGAAGGAGGTCATCAACATAGACTAAGTGAGATGTATGGAATGCTAGATCCTTAGCCAAGGCCTGTCTGAAGATATGAGAGCTGTCTCAGAACCCTTGGGGGAGAACTGGCCATGTTAGCTGAGTGGAGTTATGTGACTCAGGGTCTATCCATGTAAAGGCAAAAATGTCTTAAGAGTCAGAATGGAGAGGAGGCATCTTTCAGGTATAGCACTGAGAAGTAAGAGGTCCCAGAAGGAATGGTGGTGAGAAGGGTATAAGGATTGGTTACCACAGGATGGATTGGGACAACCATAGAGCTGATGGAACGGAGGTCTTAGACCATGCAATAGGAACCATTGTGCTTTTTTTACTGCCAAGACAGGAGTGTTACAAGGAGACTGAGTAGGTCTAAGGAATCCCTTTCGCAAGAGGTCTTGAATGTTAGGCTGTAAGCCTAGGAGTTTTTGTCAGGAAAGCTGGTATTGTGATTGGGCCAGAAAATGGAGGGGGTTTTCGAGACAGATGTGAATGGGCTCATGATGTGAGGTGATAGAAGGACTTGAAACATCCCAGACAATAGGGTCCACCTGGAAAGTGGGTAATGGGAAGGCCCTGGCAGACAGAATAGGGGGTGGTCCTAAGGTAAGGGTGAGGATCTGGGGAGCGGCAGGCGAGTCTGGATGGAAGCGCATATGAGGGGAGAAGGAAAGCGTAGCCCCCAACTTTGTATTTCCCTTCCCACAAGGAGAACAGGACACTGTGGAATGACCAAAAAGGAGTGGGTAAAAATTAGAGAGCCAAAAGCGCAAACAAGGCTAGGTGTGTGTCTATGAGGGTTGGTAAGGTTTACCATCTACCCTTACAGTAGAGGTCATAGAACGAGTAGTAGGCCCCCAGGACTTCTTGAGGAATGAATATGTATCCCAACCGTCTAAGAGGAAGGAGACAGGCCTACCTGAAATACACAGTTACCCTGGGTTCCCGTGGAGTTATGGTAGTGGTCAGGTGATGGGGACCTGGGCCTTGTCAGTCCTCTGCAGCCAGTCCTAAGAGTTGGAAAGGGGAACCAGAAGGGCCAGATGGCTGTTGGCCCCTATGGGCTTGGGTATAGTCAATGACCCAGTGTCCCTCCTGATGGCATTTAAGACAAGAGCCCAGAGGCTTGTGAGGCTTGGGATATGTACGAGCCCAGTGACCCAGGATCTGGGTGGACCTGAGGGACCCTTCCACAGGCCAGTGGAACCAGGGACAGATGCTGAGGCTAAACAGACAGCTTGAGCGAGCATCTGATATCTCTGTTTCCAGGCCTTCTTGTCTCTCCTGTTATACACCTTAAAGGCCACTCCCAAAACCTCAGCTTAGGAGTTAGGGGCCTCCTCTTGAGGCGTCTTAGTTTGGCCTTAATATTGGGGAAACTCTGGGAGAAAAAGTAGGTCATTAGAAGTTGTCTCCCATCTGGAGTCTCAGGGTCCAGATTAGTATATTGTCATAAAGCCTTAGTCAGGAGGTCTAAAAATACTGAAGGGTTTTCATTCTTTTCTTGGATGATTTCCTGGAGCTTTTCATAATTGATAGCCTTATGTGCTGCCTTTCTACTAGTCACTCCTCCAGGCAAATTATAATCCCAGTTGGGGTCCTGATCAGGGACTGCTTCAGTGCCAATCAGGTGGGCAGAGGAGGTCTGATATAACTCATCAGCATAATTTCTAGCTTGCTCCCAAATCTGCCTGTGCTCCTCCAGTACTAATCAGATGGGCAGGTTAGGTCTGATTACCTCATCAGCAAAATTTCTAGCTTGCTCCCAAACTTGCCAGCACTCTTTGGGCAGGAGGGTGGTAGACAAGATCATATGGACATCGTGGAGGGTTAAATCATATGATTGAGTCAGATATTAAAACTCTTTGATATATGTGGTGGGACTTGAAGTATAGGCCCAAGCCACTTTTGTATCTGTGAAAGATGTGACAAAGAGAAAGGCACAAGAACCCAAATTACACCATCTACTCCAGCCGCCTCGTGTAGAGGACACAGAAATGCGGGTTGGGCAGTGGCAGCCCATGAGTGTGTGGCAGGAGGAGAAAAGGGCAGAGGGGCCAAGGGGACAGTTGCTGTGGCAGCTTCATCTGAAAGAGAATTGTGATATTGTGAGGGCTCATCTGCTGGGTTGAAGGAGGAGGAGTCCTGGGTAGGATCTTCTGTCCCTTTGGAAGCAGGTGTAGGGCAGGTGAGAGCTAAGAGGACTTGTGTGGGACAGCAAGTGTTTCAGAGAGAGGGCTTAGAACATAGAGAGAGGAAGGCCTGAACATATGACATCTCTTTCCATTTTCCCAAGCACTCACAATAGTTGAAAAGATCCCTGATAATATTGGGATCTAGGGAGCCATTAAGTGGCCATTTAGAGTCCTTATCCAAAGGATATTGAGGCCAGATCTGATTTCACAAGCAGATGTTTGGTGGGATTTAGATCCAGGGTGAGAGAGAGAGAGAGAGAGACCCTAGGTTAGCCAGGAGGCAATCTAGGGGACTATGAGAGGCAGTGGATGAGGAGCTGTGCATGGTGAGATGAAGGAGGTGAGTTTAGTGGTGGGACGTCCCCCAGTCTCTAGTATCACCTAGTTGAGAGGACAGTTATACTCAGGGGGCTGTCACCACTGCTGGGTAGGCGTCGGGGCAGGAACCTGTAGAGGCACTTGGGCGCCAGGACTACATAGAAGGGGCAGAAGCCATAGAGATTAACCCAAGGCCAAGAGGTCATCTCACCAGGAACAATGCCCAATCACCCTCAGTGGTTTTTTTCTCAAAACCCAGGACCCAAATAAAAGACCACCTACAAACTTGGTCGAAAGTCGGGATCAGCCGTAGCTGTGAAAGCTGTGGCAGCTATGGCTGGGAGTGCCCTCGACCACACAGTAACCCTGGGAATGCTGGTCATTCAACAGTCATTTCCAGGGACCTGTAGGTCATTTAGGTCTACCAGAGACGGGTCTTACCTGCAATGTCTGGTGATTGGTACAGAGAGGGCATTCAGCAGAATGGAGGGCCTGGTCCCATGATGGAATTCAGATTGGGGCCTGGGGACTCTCAGTGGCCCCCAAAGAGGGGAGCGGGCACACGAGGGAAACTGATCCCAGGTTTTGGCACCAAAATGAAGGAAAAGTGAGGAATGAGAGACAGGTAAATAAGAAATGAAAGATGGAGACCAGGCAGAGATACACACAAGAGTGTCAGAGCTGAAAAATAAAGGTCATCTCTCTATATGGAGAGAGGCAAAACAGGCTTGGCTTCTGGGACTTTTATGATAAGGGCAGGCTCAGGAATCAGATCTGAGCAGGTCCTAATGTGGGCAGTTAGAGTTTGGGTTGCTATCAGGGAGTAGTGAGCCTTTCTCAGAAACGCCCTTGGGCAAGAAGGTGGGTGAAACTTCTTCCTTAAAATGTCAGCAGTCGTTTGGAGAGGGAAGATGGCGGCGAGGGGAGTGCATTGCCCCCGTGAGCTGCTTCACTGTGTGGGAGTATGACAAGTCAGGACGGCTAAAGGCTATCTTGTTAGGAATTTCCAGCAATAGTGGGGTGCTCCGGAACCTGGAGGAAGGATTTCCATCACACGAGGATCGGCTACGGGGACTCAAACGCGAGAGGTTTGTCGCACGGAGGGTAACACTGCTTATTCAGCAAATCGCCCCGTGGCTAGAGTCTGCAGCGCGCGCTGGGAAACTAGGAGATAGCGACGCAGGGATACAGCGCTGCAGTTTCTGCCAGCCGTGCAAGCACCGTACTCAGGGCTGAATTCTGGGTTCGAGACGGGGGAAGGAAGCAGTCCATCTCGGTTCTCCACACCGGTCAGACCACAGAGGAGGCCAGCAGCCACCATGTTGGAAAGCTGACGTCACCATCCCTGTTTTCGACTGACCGCAGCTCATTCAGCCATAGAACAGGTAATTTCAGGCTGCCATTCGCCTGCGGCTTGCAGACAGATTGCTAGGGTTCAGTGCCTGGGTGCTTCTTAGAACCTGATCTTATCGGAGCGAACACTGAGCGCTGGGCGGCCGAGTTCCGGCTCCCGGAACCGCCCTGGCCCAGGGCTGCGGAGCCTGTGGAGGCTGCTTCTTGGACCCTGCTCCTATCAGAGCATACACCAAGCACTAAGCGGCCGAATTCCGGCTCCCGGAACTGAGCCCGCGGGGACTGCTTCTTGGAGCCTACTCTTATAGGAGCTTACACCGAGCACGGAGCGGCCGAATTCCGGCTCCCGGAACTTCCCTGGCCCGGGGCTAGGAGCCCGCGGAAACTGCTTCTCAGTCCGGGTCCTGCTGAGGGCCGGTCAGGACTCACCCGTTGCTTTGGTTGCCCGGCAAGGGGAACGAAATCCTGCCATTCGCATAGGATAACAACATGGCAGAGATCCAATGTCATCAGAAAGCGGCGGAGGAGAGAACTTCATCAATACCAGCGGCGAAATAAACAGTTGGTCTCCTGGTAGGGGGGGTGAGGCACAGACACCCGAGTCTCCTCAATTTGTCGTCGAGCCAGAGGGGAGGAGCCGGGCCGCCGCCAGCGCCCGGAGCAGGCCCAGCGGCTCGCCAGCATGGTGACCGCGTGACCCCAATTGGAGAGGGGGCGGAGCGGAGCCGCCACCCGCACCCGCAAGGTGGGCAGACCCGCAACCCAGTGGTACATGGGCGTGGTAGGAGGGGCAGAGCAGAGCCGCCGTTCGCGCTTGCAAGGTAAACAGACCTGTGACAGCCTGGCGGGTCAGGCCCAGTGGCCTGCCAGTGTGGTACACACGTCACCCCAACTGGAGTAGGGGCAGAGCAGATCCTTCTCCCACGCCCGGATCAGGCCCTGCCGGTGTGGTGGCCACGTGACCCCAATTGGAGTGGGGGCGGAGAGGAACCGCCACCCGTGCCCGCAGGGTGAGCAGACCTGTGACCAACCTGCAGATCAGGCCCAGGGGTCCGCAGGCGTGATAGGAGGGGCAGGGCAGATCCGCCGCCCGCGCCTCCAAGGTAGGCAGACCTGCGACAGACCGGCGGATCAGGCCCAGGAGCCTGCCGGCGTGGTACACACACCACCCTAATTGGAGTAGGGGCAGAGCAGAGTCGCCGCCCGTGCCAGGAACAGGCCCAGCGTCCTGCAGGCGGGGTAGTCACGACACCCCAATTGGAGTAGGGGCAGAGCAGAGCCTCCACCCGTGCCCGAAAGGTGTGCAGATCTGCGACCGACCAGCGGGACAGGCCCAGTGGCCTGCCGGTACGACAGACACGTCACCCCATTTGGAGTAGGGGCAGAGTAGAGCCGCCGCCCGCGCCTGCAGGGTAGGCAAACCTGCAACCGACCGACGGAT